TCCCATCCAGCTGGTTCTTGAAAGAAGCCAGTATATCGGCTTCACTAGCACGGCTGAGTAACTGGTCTCACACTCCCGCTCTTCCACAGAGCTCCCACCTGTGTCCGGCAGTTCATGTTTCACTCTTCATCCTGAAGAAATACGCTGGGTTGACATCTTTGAAAGCCACCAACAGGAACCATGAGAAATGAGCTTCCTTTAGGTTCACTTTAAAAGGCGGCACAGTGGCATGGCACTTAAGGCACAGGGGTTCAGGCCTTCTGTGTGGAGTTTGCATGTTCTTCCCAGGCCCCCATGGGGTTTCTCTTAGCATTCCAATTCCCTCCCCCCACATCCCAGAGAACTGACTGAGCCACATTCCCTGTTCCCTGAGGAAGAGTGGGACTCCCTTACTTGCTGTTTTGCCCTGTTTGCAGTGGCTCTGAAGAAGAAGAGGAAGGAGTCGTGTTTTATTGACGTGGCTCGCTGTCCAGAGGCTAAATACCTGTCCATGCATATCCCCACGTTTGGGATGTTGACAGTTTTTCTTTCCTCTGGAAACATGCGTGGCGCGGCTGAAATATCAGCAGGCTTATATGACGGGACGGCTCCCTGGTCTCTGTGTTGGCAGCACTATGCCAGTAATCGGACAGGGCTTACGGGACTCAGTTTGCAGGAAACTTCCAAGGACAGGAAGTGGGCCGCGTGTGCAGTCCGTGGGGCACAGCCGCTGCTCCTTCACAACTGCAAAGGCCTAGAGCCAGCAAAGCTAAAAATAGGACAAAGATGCGAAGGTTCTAGCTTGTCTGCGCCTCCGCATTTTATTCCAGTTTTCCGAACTGTTCCCGGCAGCAAGGGCTCTTGTTACACACGAGGCTCCTGTCGTTTTCCATTTTGCCTGGAAGGAGCCTGCAGACTCGCACACAGCCCTGGGAGCGGCGGGGTCAGAGGGACTGCAGGCTCTCTGGAGCACGGTCAGGCAGGGGCCCGCGCACAAGCAGATGGCCTCCGACTGCTGGGAAGATGGGGGGGTGGGGAGTCTTAGGGGAGGAGGGGAGGGAGG